TTTCCTTGTAGAGAAAAGGCGCAGTGGCTGTAGCACGGGGACGGGATCTAACGGTAGCTGGAGCCACATAGTTCAGGAGTATTTTTACTCTGGCTGAACTTCTTGTTTCTGACATGTTTTGTTGTCTCTTGAACAGCAATAAGCAGAAGAAGAGATGTTTTGTTTATCTCGTGTTCAGAAACAACTCAAAGATGGCAAGCTGTGCTTGGAGAGGCTGTGTTTCACACCGCCGATGAAGGAGCTGCAAATGTGAACAAGAACATTGTTTTTCTAATTCAAGACTCGTCTGCCCAGCTTCCTAAGTTGCCACCATTTTTCATTCTCCAACACAACCCAGAGCTACAGAGGCTTTACCATCATTCTCAGATCCACGTTAGAGTCCATTTCCATCTGTCTTAAAGGCCAACACAAAGTTTACCCCCTGCCGTCAGTTCTCTTCTCTGAAGTCTGAACCTGACACCCCATTTTTCCAAATCTCACCTCTTCAGACACAAGAATATCTCCCCTCCAGCATCTTTTCCTGAACAAGGGAAGGTGGAGGAGAAAATCTTTTACGGGCAAAGAAAATAGGAGAAAATACAATTAGTAGTATGATAGAGGATTCATCACTTTTACTGCATAAGGACGGCGTCTGGGATCGGAAATGAATTCTATTTTTACAAGAGACGGAGAGAAAGAAGGAGGAATGATGGAGCGCTGGAAACACTAATGAAGCAAAAAGTCTGCAAGTGGCAGCGGCTGTTGCTGCAAATGTTCCTGGAATGTGGCACGGTGTTGATAAGGCCGCCTCTCTGACACACCGCTAACATCATGTGTGACAACGAATTATAATTCATGAGAACGGTAAATAAGTGTGTCAGAGGACTAATGGCTGTTTGAATCGGAGCTGCATGACTCTTGTTAAAGTCAAGATAGATTTGTGTGGAAGCAGAAGAGGACTTAGGCCTAAATAAAGCTAAAGACAGCCAAACATTAAACCCATTGTCCCTCATTAAATTACATATGAGTAATAAGAGTACTCACCGTAGTGCACGGACATAATTTTTTTTGGGGGGGGGGGGGGGGTCGGACATGGGGGACATGTCCCCCCCCACTTTTTCCAAGGTCAAGTTTTGACCCCTGCACTTTTTACCATCCAAAAACAATATTACGCTATATTAAATTGACACTGGTTGAGCTCTAGGACCAAGCAGAAAACAACCGTTTGTGTTGAATCCTGTTTCCTATTAGAACATACTGTAAAGATACATACACCCCACCCCCATCCCATGCCCCCCCCCCCCCCCCCCCCCCCCCGCTTCTAAAGTGAAAATTACGTCCATGCCGTAGTGAATATTCTCAACTATTGGATCATCTGGTTGTCGGTCTGGCCAAACCGTTGGAACTTCCATGGATCCTCCTCTCATTACACTCACGTCACGTGTGAAATGACAATGTTATGATTAGTATGCTTTAATAAGTAATATGACTTTAATCTAGCTGCATTAGACATGCTGACTACACGTAATGTAAATGCATGACACATTGCTTTACTCATCCAATCAGAACCTTCCTTTCTGAAGTGTGGCATAGTCTCTGTGGTGTTTATAAATCTGCCAATTTTGATTCGACCAGAAATCAAAACATCCAGATTAATAAAACCAGTCCCCACGTCATCTTAAGTTCAGTTCTCAACAGTTTACTGGAGTTCTCTGTAGTTCACCGCATTCTAAGAGAAGTATCGGACCGGCCACCCGGACTTCCTTTTAAGCAAGAACCAACAAGCTGGATAAAATCTGTTGCATTTTTCCAACCAAGCAACGGTTCCTTTCAGAATAAAAGCTGAACTCACTGACCCAAGGGGGGTCCATCTGGCCCTGTCAACCAACTGTCGCTTTTTACCGAGACAATCCAAAGACTAGTCTGTCGTACTGCTGATGCTGTTTCATTGGCTCCGGTACCGAAGGGGGGTCCGAGAACCTGGCATTCTGGATCTGTACGGAGGTCTCATCTGAAGGGTATGTGTAGAGCGACAAATATGGCGTCTCATGTGTTTATGAAACTCAGATCATAGCTTAAGAGCAAAACATCACTCAGACTTGCTTCTCCGGATACGAGAGTTCTGATTACAAACATCACTCACACATACACCATTCATCTCCCGTCTCATTCACACCAAGATCCATTCATTACTTAGGGTTAGAGTTAGTCTTGTTTAAAATTGTTTATAAATAAATCTTTTTAAATGTTTTAAGGGTGACTCTCTCTTCTCTTGTCTCTCAGTTAATACGAAGTGTTACATAATCCCTGCAATAAAAAGTTCCAATATTCTGGTTAAAATAACCCAAAGGTCCACAAGGTTGATTCCATATGTAGTATGGAATCTCATGTCTTATGGTCCATTAATTAGATGTAAAGTAACCCTTTACAACCATCTTGTTATCTCTGGCTATTTGGGTTTCTGGTTTCGGTGGATCCAGGGAAGATGCCCGAGGGGAGGGTTGAGTGTGACTGTGTTTGCATTCGAAAACTAGCTAGTTCTGTAGATTCACTATAACAGCTTTAAGCTGTTGCTTACAAACTGACTTCAGTGGTTCTTGAGCCACAAACATGAGAAGTTTTACATTAGACAGCACTCTGTTGCCCTCTGCTGACCAGGAACAACATTTATTGCTTTGTGGTTTGGGTAGGAAGACTAGTGGGAGGTTTAGTTGCTTTACAGCAATAGCACATATAAAGGCTACTAGTTAGCTTGTTCAGTTTGGCGACCGTCTACAAAAACCACAAGTAGAAGAATGTAGCATTTTGTTAGCATCATGTTGGAGCCTGGAAGTAAAAGTCAGAGTAATGTCAAAGAAAAAAGCTAAAACCAGAGTGAACACCAGTGTGTCATATGTTTGAGGAAGATGAAGGACACTACATAATCAAGAACTGATGGTGACCTGGCTTTGTTGCTACTGGGCTTTTGTATTTGTTTAATCAACAGTGTGGATCTTTTTATTTTGTGGTTTATTTGGTATCAGTTGGCTCGTGTTAGCGTTAGGTTGTTGGTTAACTGTAAAACAGATTTATGACGATTAATTAACAATTAGTGCTCATAAAGACAAATTCAGAGTTAAAACTCTGATGATTATTAGTTTATTTGTGTAGTTATTGTCTCGATAACATAAACACCTCCTGATCTTTTCACAGAACCTCATAAAGACATCATCCTTATACGTTTTCCCTCTAAATGTGCCTTTATTACCAAGGCACAAAAGATTTATGCTCAGTTTTCACTCCACACTGACTGATCTGTCTTTCCTCTTATTTCCAGCCTTTTACTTTAATCCAGTCCCTCCTTCTTTCTGTAATTTGCCACCTCAGGCAACAGCCCACATCAAACATAAAAGCAGACGCTCACCACTTGACATTTTAACCAAATGTGGCCACAATTAACGCCCAGGCGGGTCGGCATAACAGCACTCACCCACCAATGCAGGGGTTCAGTACAGCTCTGACGGTTCTAAATGTGTTTTTATTCCTAGAATACACAACGGTGCTTCAGAATCTGCATTACTAAATATGTCATATGCAATGAAATAAACCACATCAGACTGGTTTCGCACTTGAATCAAATAGGTTTCCAGTATTAGTAGAGCTCCTGTAGGAATCAACAGGCAGTCACTGATGACAATACATAAAGAATCCAGATCTGTCTTTTCTTTTACTCATATTCACTAAGATGGTCAACCAATAAATAAACATAAAAAATAAACATAAACATGTAGGATTTCTAAAGGAACAAAACCACAAATGAATGAATGAAACGTGACTTTCACCAACCCTTTGTCTGATTCTCAGACCCGCCCACATCCTCTTCTTTGTGTCTCTCTTTCACACACACACACACACACACACACTCTCACACACACACACAAGCACACACACATACGCACACAAGCACACACACGCACACAAGCACACACGCACGCACACACACACACACACAAGCACACACACACGCATACACACACACACACACACACACACACACACACATCAGTCATGCACTCATACCTCACAGAGTCAAATAAAAGGCTTCAGAATAGTGAGTCGGCGCAGGAACACACCTTTTTCTGCTCGCTGCCACAGATGTAGACATAAGCAGCTGAGCTAGAACATCTAGAAGATTTTACTAAATTTTCATGAATATTAAAGAGCTGTAGTTACAAAGACCATGAATTAAGGGCTCATAAGCAAACAAATCAACTGAAACACTTTCATTTTCTCCTGCTTATCCGAGGTTGAGTAGAGAAAGGTAACAGGACCAGAAGGGAAGCCCATAAGGGCTGGAATGTTGACAGACTAGTAAATCAGGAGTGGTGCCTTACAGTCAGCGTCTTCCAGCGTAACATCCCGATCCCTGCTGATAAAGCCCTGACCCGTCGGTCCATCTCTCCATCCTACCCTAACCCTAGGATGCTTAAACTGATCCAGAGGTGGTAATCACCCTTCATCCTGCTGCCAAACCTATAGGATTCTGCATGCCCCCCCATGCTAGTTGGAGTGCGTTGTTAGAGCCCCAGTAAGGTCTTGCACGACAAATCTATCTCTGGAGAAAAATCAGACTAAGAGCAATCCATGACCCGTGAAGGAAAATCACTAAAAACAAGACAATATAAAAAAAAAGAGAGAGATCGGGGCACCGTTCTAAACCAGGCATAGAGAGGACTTAGCTCTCCTGGTTGGGCCAGGCCTGCATGGGCCGATCACCCATGAGGATAAAAGTGAGGGGCAGGTGGTTTAGAAAGCAGGTGGTGTGAGTCTGCAGATAATTTAGAGAGCGTAGTCTAAGTTGATCAGGGGTTTAAACATCATGCATATCTGGAGCACTTGTGTAATCACCATAAAGGACTTTTCAGAACAAAAATGCTTGGCGAGATGATCATCAGTGGAAACAGGAAGTTGCTTCTGCACTCCTGATGCTGAAGTGCTGGTTCAGCCTGCGCTAACAGCCTGAAATAGAGTTGCCCACTCACCATGTCGCGCCCTCCTACTCACTGCAACTCCACATCAGAGGCTGGCAGGTGAAGACATACAGTCCCTCCATGACCAACCAACCAGCACAGCAGCTTATTCCTCCTTCACTCCGCACTCAGCCACACGAGTCCAAAGAAACACGAGTGATGCTGCTGTTTGTGTTAACACACAGAGGAACGGACTACTTTTAGATTTTGTCTAAAATAAAAAACCAGCCATTTTCTGGTCCTTCTAAGCGATCTGAACTAAACCATTTTATCTAGCAGGAAGCAGCAGCTACTGAAATCTACAGTGAGGTGTGTCTGCCTGCAGGAACATCCTCACACATGCAACAGGAAACGGTTGTTCTCCTCCAGCTTCCTGGCCAAGCTGCAGCACACAACAAGATGACAAGTGGCTCTCTTTCGCACACAGCTCTGTGGCTTGCAGATTATCCCTCCGTTCTGACAAAAGCAGCATCAATAATTAAATCTGCGGCCTAGTCGATGCACAGAAACTAATGAAGACTGTGAAGGAAATCAGCCATGACTCATCAAACACGAGGCAGGAGAGGAGCTTGATACGGGGAGCTAAACAAGGATGGGAACATCTCAGAGGGTCAGCTTAATGTCCGCCCTTTGGCCTTTCTTTTGTTTCGATTCGCTTCCTGAGTCGCTCCATCCTTGAGCACTGTGCATATTGGAGATGAGAAATCACTGATCTGTGTGTGAAGAACGTGCCCCACTTCAAAGTAATACAGTCCGCATGAGAAAAGATCAGTGTCTTCAGCATTAGCCAAATGTCAGCTCCTCCTGTCCCAGAGGGGACTCCAACTCCAACAAAAACACCTACAATAACAGACGGATATGTTCTCCTCCTGGTGCTCCGGGACGTTCTCTGTCATCTCTGCTGCCGGGGGAGTTAGCACAGGATGTCTCCTGTAAATGGGAACAAGCAGTAGCAGTTGACCTGCTGACACTAGATCAGCCACAGAGAGTCAACATGCCCTGAGAACAGACAGTAAACAGCTGCTGTTCAATACCATTCATGTTTACTTGCTGGTTCCATGGTTCAAATGAACCTGTAAGTTCTGCAGATTTTACGACTCATCAGTCTGGACGGTTGTCTGGTAACAGGTTCTTCTGCCTGTTGGTGTTGGAGCAGGAGAGGGCCTCAGAGACATGGACACCCAGTAATGTTCCGAAGCATCACCTTCAGGCCTTCTGGGGTTTACGTTGCACCACAAGCATTATGATGTTAAGTTTAAACTGTTGTGGGAATTTGGGGTCATTTTAATTCTGTAAACCACTTTGAGTGGCACTTTGCTTGAAAAGCGCTTCGTCTTCCTATTCCTCCACTTATCCGGGTCCAGGTCGCGGGGGCAGCATCCCAACTAGGGAGCTCCAAACCATCCTCTCCCCGGCCACCTCCACCAGCTCCTACGGCAGGACCCCAAGGCGTTCCCGGACCAGATTGGAGATGTAACCTCTCCAACACTGACGTCGTTAGGTCCGTTTTAGGGGGGCTTCAGCCCCCCTAAAATAATCACAAGCCCCCCTATCATTTTGGTTTATTTTATTTTTTTCAGTTAACTTTTTTTTATTTGTTCACATCTACATGCTGAACACAATCACGACACGTGTAATTGGTACATGAGTTTTTTAGTCTGAAACAAAAATAATAATTAATGAATATAGAACTACACCGTCGCACACAGGAAGTATCAAGAAAGAACTTCCTCCACTTCCTTAAGCCCGCAGCTTTGTTGACAAGTCAGGGGGTGGGGTGATACAGAAAAACCTATATATCGATGAGCAAACCCTGCTCAGCGCTCATGTAAGTCACTCAACATCACATTAGGGTAAGACAGCAACAGCAGCATACCGTTAACATTTCAAGGTTATAGTTCAGACGAGAGAGGAAAACGCTACCGCACCGACATGCTAATGCTAACTCCGCTAGCATGTTTACATGCCGCAAACCATAATGAAAAGCTTTGATGTCAAGTAAAATGGTCGGAAAACTCCCCTGAAGTGACGTGATTAACCAGCCAGCCAGTTCATTGAGTGACTTAGTGCCACCAACTTGAGCGTACAGTAATGAGTCTGCACAAACAGAACCTGTTCTGCGCTTGTGTGCAGCAGCTGCAGCCCTCTCTATGGGATCAATTCTGCACATGCAAATCTCTCCCTGCTCTCCTCAACAAGTAGCCTCTCCAACAGTCAATCACAGACAGCTCTGTTTTATCCAACCAAAGCATGTCCAGGTAACACTGCTTTACAGAAAAACACCCATTTAACAGCTTATTAAACTGCTTTCTGCTGCTGGTTAGCTACCAGTCACCATCCACTGCCTGCAAGATACTTTGTTGTAATTCATGTGTCATGATTAGGGTGACCATATTTGACTTCCAGAAAAGACACATTGCCTATTCCTAAAACTGTTAAATTGCACTCTTTTCAGTTAAAAATGACTTTTAATTTCAACATATAAAGTGTTTCTTCTCTGTTTGGTCAGACATAAATGATCCCTTGATGTGTAAAAGGAAGTGAACAGTGGAAATGTCCCAGGAAAAGAGGAGGGTTAATCAACCTAATTAAATATAATTATATAAAGTCCTCTTTATCTGAAAAAAGTGCAATTTTCCTGCCAGTATTTCCTGGACATGCTTTGATTGCATAATGGAGAGCTCTCTGATTGGCTGACGGAGAGGCTACATTGCTTTGTAAATTGCAAATTGAGCAACAGCAGGGAGATTTGTGCAGGCAGAGACGGAGTTGAGCATGCAGAGAGAGGGCTGCATACGACTGCAGGGCTGCATACGACGTTGTGCTCTTGCAGATTGATCACTGCACACTCCAGTTGGTGGCACAAAAATCACTCCACACTAAAAACCTGAATCAGAATCTGGCCGAATGTGTATATTATTGACCGTTTTTCTATATTATATATTTTTTCTATAATATATATATATAATATATTATAGGTACATATATGTATCTATAATATAGTAAACAGCCAGTTTTATATATGTCACATATATTCCAAAGCTACATCAAAACATATATTAAAACCTATATGTTTATGACTTCTTTCCATGTGGGTTGTCAGTTGCGTAATATTTCCTATGTTTACCTATGGTAAAGAAAGGAGATATTGTACTCATCTAACTTTAACATAAATTTTGGCAGCTTAATGTGACGTTATGGAAAATGCCATCATCATGAGCAACCAAACATAGGCTATATTAGGCTAACAGTTGTCCATATTCTGTACCATTTATCCACCAATGGCTGTTTCACGGTGAGTGAAAACTAAATGGTATAGTAGCATTTGTCTTGGCATTAGAAATTGAAAATGTTTTTCATTGTGTTGGCTAGATGGATATACGAAGACTTTTTTAAGAGAGTGAGTGAGGAACAGGAGAGAGACCAGGTGGTTGATGCTGAGGAGATCTGCATGGTCGAGGTCAGTGATCTACAGCGAAAACAGGGGCGAGTGCACCGTTATGAGCATTTACCTGAGCACAAAGTTCCCAAGCAGAATTGAACAGTTTTCTATTTAGGAGTGAACATGTAAGAGACATTGAGAAAAAAATAACTATAATTATCATCTGGCCTGCAACCTTATGTCAAGTTGTATCTGTATAAATGACTTTCTGTATTATAAGTTCTACTACTTGCTGGATATTTTTATATATACTGTTATTTTGTCTTGTAATAATTAATTACACACTCCTTTATTCCATATCATAGCAGTGTTATTCATATATTAAAACTGTCAACTGCACAATCATTTGGCAGAATAAAAGTTTGACAATTATTCATTTGTTCTTTATTGTCACATTTCAGTAACAGTTATAATTAAACAAGTTGTCGTCGTCGTCGTCGTCGTCGTCGTCTTCCTCCGCTTATCCGGGTCCGGGTCGCGGGGGCAGCATCCCAACTAGGGAGCTCCAGGCCGTCCTCTCCCCGGCCTTGTCCACCAGCTCCTCCGGCAGGACCCCAAGGCGTTCCCGGACCAGATTGGAGATGTAACCTCTCCAACGTGTCCTGGGTCGACCCGGTTATAATTAAACAAGTTGTAAGTAAACAAATTAAATAAATGACTACAACATTTCCCCCTGTTAAGTGCAGTAGACTGAAATGAATAGCTTTATTTGGAAATATAACATATCTCATTTTTAATGGACTTACATAAAATCTTTCTTCAACATAGACCCCACTAATTAACTGATTAAGTGTTATTTTTTATGAAAAGAAGAGAGAAAATGCACAAAAGTAGGAAAGGAAAAGAAAGTGATAAAATAATAGGTTTTGTTAAATGTTCTTCAGATAATGAATTAATTGACAAAGTTTTTGCAGGGTGTGACAAAAAACGTTCGAGGTCAAGCTCCTGGGGCTAAGCCCCCCCTATATCTCAATCCTAGTGACGTCCATGCTCTCCAACGTGTCCTGGGTCGACCCGGGGGGCTCCTGCCGGCAGGACATGCCCAAAACACCTCCCCAGGGAGGCGTCCAGGAGGCATCCTGACCAGATGCCCAAACCACCTCAACTGACTCCTTTCGATCCGGAGGAGCAGCGCTTCTACTCCGAGTCCCTCCCGAATGTCCGAGCTCCTCACCCTATCTCTAAGGCTGAGCCCGGCCACCCTACGGAGGAAACTCATTTCGGCCGCTTGTATCCGCGATCTCGTTCTTTCGGTCATTACCCAAAGCTCATGACCATAGGTGAGGACTGGGACGTAGATCGACCGGTAAATCGAGAGCCACTTAGCTCTCCTGACGCTTTATAAATAAAATCTGATGGATTGACTAAAGTAGTGGATTGTTTTTTTCTTATTGTTGTTTTCACTTTACAGTTGCGGGTTTGAATTTGATTCTGTGATTTTGCTATCACCCAGGCTTTCCACTGGAAATGTAGAAGGTACATGATGTAATAGACGTAATAAAGAATGTATCCAAACGGTCTGCAGTTTATTTCCAGTTCTTATTACCTCAGCCATGGAGATGTCAGGTAATGACAAATCTTTATTACTAGTTAAGCACTAGGCTGTATGCAAGTGTCTTTTATTTAGAAAGTTCACGAATACTGTAGGCATGTTTGACTGAATGAAACACATATTTAGCAGGGTGTCACGACACTACATCTGAGATGTGCCACTTTGCATCCATTGTAACACACCAGGCCCCCACAATGCAGCTCTGAAATTGAGACAAACCCGGAAGTGAAATAAATTGCAGTTCCACCCTCATCCACTGGGGGCTGGTGTCAGAAGCGAGCAAATCCTCATTGACTCCCATGTTAAAAATACCAATTTCACAGCAGAAATAAACATGTTTACAGCCTGGTACCAAAACATGTTTTTTGTTTAATAGATCTAGGTTACACTCATGACAACTCTGAGGGGGGTGAATTTTTTTCTCACTCTTCTGTTTAAGTGTATTTAAAGCCTAAAATTCTGTATAATTAATGAGCATCAGACCCACGTGACCACAGAGCTAGCTCTGGGGAAAGGCCTCAGTAGAGCCTCGGTCTGGCTTGGAAACTGTTCCGGGATTTTGAGTCTCTGTGTTTGTGTATTCTTTTTTGGATATTTTTTGTGCAATTGTTGGACAAAATGACTTGCTGTGGCATTAATTGCACTAATAGAGCGTCCAAGGGGTCTCCACTTCATTTTTTTCGGTAAGTAAAATTATATTTATGTATTTTAGGTCACTGCCGAGCTGAGCTTAGATTTTAACATGTACTGTTTAACCATGAAATTTAAATGTAATAGGGTAAAACCCAGTGCATTTAACATAATGCTGCACTTTAGAAAATGTGTTGAAATATAACATGTTGGTGGAGCTGAGTTCCGACTATCGGCTTGTGGAGCTCTCGGGAGACCGATGTTTTCATCCCTTATCCCCTCCCCGCAGCCCGGTCCATCTCTGTCTGATTGCGGCTTCAGTTTGCTGCGCGCGGGCTGATGGCTGGTTCTCCCAGCAGCTCGGCGCATCTGTCTGATCGCGGCTTCTGTCTGCTGCGCGGGCTGACGGCTTGTGGAGCTCTGGGATGGAAACCTTTCCACCTGGTTCTCCCCAGCGGCAGCTCTGCGCATCTCATATCGCAGAGGCGCTTGTCTGCTGTGCGGCTGCCGGCTTGTGGAGGTCTCCGAGCCCTCCACAGAGGTCTTGGAGACCTCTGTGTTCCACCCGGTTTTACCCAGGGGTCAGCCCGGCGTATCTCTGACTCAGAAGCTCTGGTGTTGTGCACAGTTAACTCCGGTTGTAGCTAGGTTGCTACCTCCGTTAGCTTAGCTCCCACCTTAGCTTTGGGTTAGCTTCAGGTTAGCTTGTAGCTAGTTCGACCGGGTGTCGTCAGTTGATCCCAGCCTTACAGCCCCACCCTCAGTTCCACCTCCCTTCCCTTTTGTGGAATTGTCTGGGCTTGACGGAACCTGTGACACGGTCAAAATGGTGGTGGTGGCCACCTCCCATTTTAGCAGAAAAACTTGTTATTGGGGTCTATGGAAACCCATTGTCCATATATTTATGTCGATGTAACACACCCATCGACTATAATGACGTTTAAGTGCACTTCGCAGACATTACCCAACGCTTACCCATTCGGAGGAACACTGAGGACAGTTAACTTATTTTGCTTTTTCAGTCACCCAGTATAAACATCCCTCCCTTTACAAAGGGTCCTTGTTTCTCAGGTTGTCAGATCCTGCTGTTACCTCCAGGTTCCTATTTGCTTCTCCAGTGTTCTCTTTTGCTCTGTTTTTTATTTACTTCCTGGTCCCTGACTTGATGTGATGCCGTCTTAAAATACTTTTATTCATTACTAAAGTTTTATCTAATTAAAATCTTCACATCTTTAAATATTTTTTGCACTCATCAATAGCCTCTATACCCCATCCTTGCATGCAGACTTGAGCCCAGTGATGATCATGTTGTCCAACGATGTTGTCGTAGCGTGTCGTGAGTCATAAAAATTAGAGTTAAGGGCTCTGCATGCAGCCCTGAGATGGTGCAGCGTGACTGAGGCGATTACAACAATAAAGTGCCCTTTCCTGAAGGACACAACACCAACTGCTCCTGTTGTTTTTCTGAAAGCCTAAGTCACTGATGATGACACCGCACGTGTTCAGTTTGGTATCATTTGAGCTGTCCGTCTTTATTTAAAGACATTCATAACAGCAGAGATACATGAGGGTCACTCACTATCAGCAGGCTTTAGGACCCAGAGACCACAAGCACACACAGGGACAGGTCCCAGGACCTGAACTCTCAGGGAGGGGCCCACTCCTGATTCTCAACTCCTGACATTTACTAGCAAGAAAGCTGTTAAATAAATAAGAAATAAAGAGGTTTCCCGCTTGGAAAATGAGGAAAAAAACAGGGGTGACTTTAAAGTCTTGGAAAGTCTGGAACCTCACAGGGCTGTGGACCGGTTGTCCTTTTCCACAACCCCATCACCCCCCTAGATGCATTTACAGAAAGGGCAAAGCAATCAGAGTGAAATTTGTGCTCCGTCACATGGAACGCTGCCATTCAACAGCAGCACACATGCCAGATCAAAGACAAAACTCAGAAGTCAAGCCGAACTGTTTTCACTGCTCCGCTCTGACGCACGCTTGCCGGTCCTCTCCCACCGTTGTGTTTCTTAAAGCCGTGAGACAACCGCTCGGATGAATGAGCAGCTCTGAATCGGTATGTGCATCCATTATCGTCCAACTTAGCAAGTGCACACACAAAAGTATGGAGAAACGGTCTGTACACACTTTGATGTACAAACTGATCGCTAATATAGAAAACGATTGGACAAAGATTCAGCAGAACTGGAGCAAACACACGGTTTGTCTAAAACAGATGCTGTGAGTCTTCAGTGTGCGTGACCTGTGGAAAGGTGGGGTATGATAGAGACAGGGGTGTTAGGTTGGATGCAGACAGATAGGTGGAGATTCAGACGGTAATACG